GTATTTGTCATACTAAATGTTATAATAAATATTTATAGTTATCCTTATTTAAACCTATGACAATGACAGGCCATTGTTTGTCTCACACGCACAAAGTAAACTGAGCAACGTCAAGTAACAAAAACTATGTCATGTCTACTTTGAGACTCAAAAAACTATATTATTTAAAATGTATTTTATTATTTGTTTTAAATAAAATATTTTATTTTAGCAACTTTATCGCCGACTATTTTGTTTAACATTACCTTAGAGAGTCAGTAAACGAAACAAATTCTTAGTAAGACGAAGGCATAAAAATTAGAGACTATTAACAGCTTGCGATTACACTTCATGTTGATGATCTAGTGATAACTACAGAAAATGAAGATAGTCGAAAAAGGTTTAAGGTATTAGAATGCAGGATGATTCTATAAACACTATCCACTCGATTTCTCTTAAAACAATCATAATATGAAAATAATTTTTAATACTTTTTAGTTTTATGTAATTCTTGAAATATCATTTATTGATTACTTTTGTAATTCATACCTTATATGAGAGTCAACAATTTTTTTTATTGGAAACATTCATTGCTTATAAAATAAAAAAATCCAGCACAGGGGGGTCGCGACACAGTGGTGACTTCGCATAGTTGGATCAAGTATAATGATATCTGACAGTGATTAAAATCACTATCAAAAAAAAAACGCTTCGATGCAAATCTTTAGATAGTGTTTAATTTTAAATAATAGGTGGATTATTCCAAAAGCTACATGATCTGCTAGTTCCTTATTAATATCCTGATTAAGATAAAGTATGTCGAATGAAAAAGGGATTATTAAAAAATATTATTTCTCATAAAAAAATTGTGTTGATCCATACACTTTTCAATAAGTTATAGCATTATAGAGTAAAAAATATAAAATCGAGAATTTTCACACAAAAATCGTATTCGGTAGCCATTTTCACCGTGAAGAAAAAATAAAGTCCGAAATTTTTTTTTCCATAATAAAGTACATTACATTAGCTTTAATTTAAGATATATATAAAAGTGTCAGACTTTCCGGAACACTTTCAAAAGTTATAAGTTGAAAAAGTAAATTTTTTGTGAAAACGTTGTCATTTTTTATCTTCCCCTGTGGGCAGGTAAAGGGGTAAATTTATAAAAAATATATACCAAATGATAGGTAAAGACATCAAGCATCTATAATAAAAAATTATATTGATTTGTTCATTTTTGAAAAAATTATGGCAGTTTTAAGAAAAAAAAATTTCAAAAATTAGCAATTTTTAAATTTGTATTTTTTTTTAAAGGTTTCCCCCATTTACGGGGAACGAGGGAAATTTTTTCAATTTTTGAGGGTAATGTCTTCGACTAGATACGATTTGTGATCTTTTGACGTATCATTGAAAGATATTGGTTCGGTGAGAGCTGAGAAAAAGTGGTAACAGACACAAAAAAAAACATCATAGTAAAACCAATACCTTCTCAGCTTCGCATCGAAACTAAAATGATCTAATTAAGGGTCAATAACAACTTTTAGACTAGTACTACAGAAGTTGTAACGATTTTAAAATGTAGACTGAACGTGAGGCGCTGGTAAAACAATATTTATCATTAGACATTTTTCGGCCACATCTCTCTTACCACCTAAGTATAAAAATGTTTATAAATTTCGAAATACTGGTTTCAAATTTGTTATTGTACTTTTTATTCTTAATTAAATCACTATATGATCCGATTTTTCATTTTAATAACTAGTTAAATATGACTGCTGCCAATAAAAAAAAATAAATTTTATCGCCTTATAAGGTATGAATTAAAAAAGTAATTAATAAATTATCATTATAAACCGAAAAATATATAATAAAACTAGAAAACAAAAGATTTCTCTGCATAACTATTATTTTAAGAGAAATCTATTTGCTAGCGTTAAAAGATTCATGCTGTATTAACTCGCTAATAACCAAGATAGTATCACAGATAAGATAAAATCTCCACAACAATACTTTTTTTTTTTTTTTTTTTTTGAGGATGTTGAAAATTTTAATAATTGATCTTACATGCAGTACACAGAGCAAAAGATGTTTCTTTTTTTTTTAATTTACTTGTGAGGCACCTCATCTATGCTGCATAATTAGGATATATTGAGTTTTATTTAAATTATCTACTACTTAATAAATAATAGACTTGAACAACTAACCAACAAGTATTAATGATGTTTACTTAAATATTTAATTTATTTCACTAAAAAATAATTAAAAATTATAGCGATAAAAAAGCACAGGAAAATATTTAAAAAAAACGTGTTCAGGAAATACTATTATTGAAGTGTAAATATTCCATTAACTTTAATTTAAGTCTTATTAAAGTAAAAATAGAATTTTCTTTTGAAATTATAGCTCTAAATAACACATGAAATGTTAAATTATCATGTAAACAAATTATTTTATTTACTATTTGTTAAATATTTAAAAATGTTTAATTCTAGTTTCGAGTTATTTTACACGCATAAATTTAATTTTTTTTGTAATTATTATTAAATTAAATATTTTAATTGTTGTTTGGTATTTGTATATTTATTTATTTTAGACAGTGATAACTAGAAAATTATAAATCATAAATGTAATGAATTTTTACTTTGACATTTTTTCGCAACGATAAATTTTAATTTTCGTATATGTGTACTTTTTTAGTAACTTTATTTTGTGTAACATTTTTAGACAATAATGTATTAATAATTATTTGAAAATAATTAATAATCCAAACTATAGTTAAATGGCGATGAAGTTTATAAAAACAAACACATATAACTGTAAATTATTTTTTAAGAATTTTATCAAATTGTAATCGATCTTAGTAAAACATATTTTACAGTGTAATTACTACATTAAAAGCATTTAGGGAGGTAACAAGAGGAAGCAATCGCCCCAGGTGTCCAAGTTTAATGGTGATTTTTTTTTTAATAGCTTAAAAATGTTTTAAAAATTTGTTTAGAATTTTCCTTGCTATAGCACATTTTAATTTCACATATAATATATACAAAATTATTTATGGAAATACATTTTTTACAAATAATGTACGTAAACATTATAGGCACATGAGAAAAAGGGGTAAAACAAAGTTTGCACCGAAAATCTACCTAAGTACTTAATATATTTTTCATTACGTATTAAATAATATATGTACATTTATTTCTACTAATGGAAAACCATTTAAAAAGGATGAGTGGTATTTAAAAAAATGATTAACATTAATACTGGTTGCCCCGCTATTATTTATCTTATAAAAACTAACAATTGATCTCTATGAACTTATTAATAAAAAAATGATTTTACAGTTTAACTAAAATATTGATCTTTTGATTTTTGTCTGTGAAAATGTTAAATTGGTTATTAAATAATTGGATATGTGCAAAATATTTCAAAACGTATCAGAAGTTTTAATATCAATAAGGAAGAAAGCGTTTTGCTTGAACTAAATTTAATACTAAGAAACTATTCGAAAAATACATAAATAATTAGAATGTACAAAATATATATACAAAAATATAATAACAGTTTCCTAGTCTTTTGCAATTTTTAAGTTTAACATATCATTAATTCTTCTTAGCAATTCTGAAAAGCAAGTTTAGTATCTCAAAATGTAAAAAAATTAGAGATTATACTTATTTTTAATTATTAATATAGAAAATAAAATGTAGATCTTAATAGTTATTGTTGGGGCGTGGTGTGTCACGGTGTTCACATTAGTTTTTGACAAAACTTTAGTGTTAAGCCGCACCTACCGCCGTAGGTGAACGGATGGGTGACCATGCGTGCGCTTCTACGGTGGCAAAAAAGCACCATGTTCCCAGTACAGAAGGCAACGGGAAACCACTGCACTTAAATTTCCCCAGGATATACCAATCCAGTTGGTATTAACCAACCTAACGGTTGTAAAAAAAATTAATTATATTTATTGTAATAATATTATAATGTGTAAGTATTTTAGTTTATTATAGACAAATAAATACATATACATATTACTTTAGTAAGAGATAGTACTGTGAAAACACCTAAAAATAAATGTTTCTTAAAAAATAATCCTATAAATAATAGGAAGAATTACATTATCTAAAATGCTTTTTGTAGTGTATATAAATTTACTCTTTTACTTAAAAATGATGCTTAAGGTATTATTTTTCATTATTATTTGCTAAAAAAACAGTTGTAGACTAGAAAATACTACTAAAACTTGTTTTACTGGTGTTACTTGAACAAGAATAACAATAGTATTTTATAATAATTATCATAATTATAACTTTCTCCATCACCACATACTGACATACGTCAAGTTAAAATTCGTTTCTTTTTTAAATAATAATGCCATTGTAAATTACCTAATGAATTTGAATGAATGCTTGTGGAATTAAAAACAAAAAATCTAGAAAATAAAAAATTACATAATGTTACATACTTACTCTAAAATTAGTTCAAAATTATTTTTAAGTTATTATATTTAAAATAAAATTATTCTTTTACGCATAATAGTTGATGAAAAAAACAAAAACGAACCATTAAAATATATTAAATTAAACTATTGTCATTTTTTTTACAGTCACGTTTATTTTTCCATATACATATATATACAATATTATAAAATTATAAAATGAAATGCGTATATAAAAATTTTCACACAAACTTGTCTAATGACATAGGAACATTTATAATACCAAAAAAAATGAAATCATCAAATTTGGTAAAAATGTAAAATAAAACAAATTTGTTTGGGAAAATGTTGAGCGTACGCCTAGCGCAAATGTATACATATATGTTATGTATAAATCTAATTTTTTTTAAATAAAAATTCTAATATACATATAAGTCATATAAAAAAATATTAATAATTTATAACATATAATAATATAAATATTACAATATTATAAATAATGATAATTTAAATTAATAAATAGATAACCACATACAGGACGACAAACACAACCTTTACCAACAGGGTATTGGAATTTTTTTCATCTCTATTTTGTTGTTATCATCGAACAATAGCGGGTTTAAGAATGGGAATACAACGGCCAACAATCCGAAAATCCGATGGACATAAGTCGTCACGAAGGTGTCGGAGGTCGCCGTTGATCGTATGTACAAAAATATTTACAAAAATATCATTTTAAACGTTTATTATCACACATCTCCTTGGGCATCTTTATGATTTTTTTGATTTTTCTATGGCTCTTCTCTTCCCAACGTGGCCACCGAAGCATTCTTCTGAAACATTATTAAAATTGTCCAATATGAGTAACAATGAACAAACAACTGCCACGTTCTCATAGTAGTTGAAACACATTTATATAGTTTTGAGACATTGAATAAAAATAAATAAATAGACCATAGTAAATCACAACATGATTAAATCACGGCGCACCAGGCGGACAATCTAATTGCACAACGGCAAATCCTACATAAATATAGCTGCCTATAGGATTGACATTTGATTTCATTTGGATAGTTATACCCAAGAAAGTTCAACGGCCTTTAAATACGTAGAAAACTATTGAACCCATGAGACCACGTGTTCAATGTTGATTGATTTTGCCAGAGTATGTTTATTTGGATGTATCAACAAATAAATTTTATTATTTTGATAGTAGTAATATCATGATTCACGACGTTGCGAAAGATATATCAAATATCTTGTTCAATGAAAATAAGAAATTTTACTGGAACTCAAAAGTATATAGTTCATCGTTTATAATTAATTATAAAATTTTAGCATTTGGTACCAAAATTATTTATCTATTTCACTTTATTAATTTGTAGATTTATTTTATTTAGATCTAAATATTGTATCAGAGGTAGTCTATTCCTAATTATTACAAAATTAATTATTGCTTTTAATATTATTCACCTCACTACAGATGTTCGAAATTTGATACTGGAAGGCCTTTTGCCCCAGTTCCAAATTCAGTGTTTTTATATCCTCCGTTTTCTATTCCAGCTAATGTGTGGTTATTAGTTTTCTTTTGCTTTTTCTTTCCCATGAATATTATATTGAGACCAAACATAATTGAGCCTGAAATATTTCAAAATGAAATAACATTCTTATTTCTAATAAACAAAAAATGTATAAAATTTTTTTGAACAGCTAAATTAAAAATGTTCATTATTTGAACCTTAAGGGATATTAATAATCCCTAGAAAATATTTTTTTATGACTATTTCAAGTTTATTAATGAAGGTATATATTTCCAAACGCAATTTTTCACTTACTGAGTAGGTAGAAACCGGCATAGAAAATAGCCAAAGCCGTTTTGTAGTCATATGCTTTTCTTACGGGTTCTACAAACATAGGAACATTACCGCCAAAGTTATTCATCCAGAAAAGGAACGCGCCAACAGTAGTTGAACGTACAGCCATTGGAACGGATTCCACCAAAATGGCAAATAAGATACCAAACCACATTTCAGCTAAAATAACAAAACGAGTCATTTAATAAATTTCCAGTAAAATAAAATAACAAAAAATAAACTCGTTATTTTCTTACCGAACAAATAAGAGATAGCTAACGTGACCATAGCACCTAATGGACCTAAGTAAATACTCCCGTAGGCAAACGGTGTTGCAATAAGCTGAAAATAAATTAAAACGAAAATTAATGTAATTCAAACAAAACATTTCAGATTAAAAATACATAAAATAATAATTTTATGGAAAAAAAAGTTATTTTATTGTTTTCTCAGCTTTAGTGACTATTTTTTATTCTATAATATATTAGGATAATATTGCATTATAATTATTATTAATTTCAAATTTCTGCTTCAGTGATTCCTTTAATGCTATTCACTCGATTTCTCTTAAAATATCATATTTAGAAAAAAATTCTTTGTATTTTTTTAATTCATATATTTATTAAATTATCAATTATTAAAAACTTTTTATAATTCATCTCTTATACCTTATAAATGTGTCAATTTTTTTTTTTTTTATTGAAAACGTTAATTTTTAACTAGTTTATAAAATAAAAAATGATCCAATTAAAAAAATTACTAGCTGAAAATCATTTTTGAAATAGTAATGATTGTTACGTCATTTAAAATTAAAATCCTCAGTTTAGTTATGTTGTAAATATAAAACAGAAACTTCAAGTTCATTTTATCTGTTACTTATGATTGTAATGTAAGGAATTAATAATTACAAAAATAGTATCAATAGTTTAAATGATATTGATATCACTTAAAAAATGTAAAAAAAAGCTAATTATCGATACTTAGGTTTTTTGTTAAATTAATATTTTAATATTCATCTTATAAATGAATTTTTGAATTTGAAAATGTCTTATTGTTCTGAATCTATTTTATTTACAATTTAAGGTAAATTGTAAGTTTTGAAAGTAAAGGAACTCATTAAAAGTATACTATCATTGTTGTAACGAGTTATTTAATGGTAATAATTAACTAATTTATTTCAGGGATAAGCGCATGTTTAATGCAAATATAATATTTCCATGTTTGCTAGTATCATAAATTCACTTTTTGTTGATCTCATTTGTGTGATTTGCATTATTTTGAATTTAATGAGCGAACGATAATTTCATATAACCAATAAAAATCAATAAAACTTTTTCATTATAAAATTATTCGATAAAATTGTAATTGTAATTCTATTAATATGGTACAATTACTTAATAAAGAAACTAATTTATTACCGATAAATTTTAGATGACAAGAATAAAAAAAAAATATGCATCTTACTTTTCAATTATGAAATAGAGTTAAATACATATCAGTAATACTATTAAAATCAATATTTTGTACGGTTCTACGTGTTACGTTATATGTAAATTTATTTATTTGTAAGATTAACGGGCATAGCCCTTTTACATTTGTTTAGGACAGCAAATTACATTGGGTCATTATTAGGTATTACGTACTGTTTGCAGTGGATATTCGTGTAGTTATCATGTGTATTTATGACTAATATGAATTATGTCGGAATATTTGACGACTAACCGTTTTGCATAAGAAAACCACTAACGACTGGGGATTTCTACCTTCTCATTGCGCGTATAGAATGCTAATATATCAGCATAAATACCCATCTACGTTGAGAATACTACAACTACACTGGATAATATTAGCATATGAAGACGTCGTACCTGACTAATAGCCAACACGGCCACACGAGATCTCATTCCGTATTTGACTACTATACTGTCTGACGTGATTCCACCGACGACCACTCCGATACTTCCCACCAAGAATGTCACTACGAATAAAGACCATCCCATATCGTATCCTGGGAAAATGTCTCGGTAAAATAGGTCGGCATTATAGGCAAAGCAGAATCCTCCTAAATATGAAAACCGAGACATTGTGTAATGATTTCATAGATTAATGTAACACTTTCTCATATGGACATACCCGTGTGTCTTATAGAAGCGGCAATGCAGAGAATTAAAATCTTAGGCTGGAACAAGACTTTCCAGATGCTGACTTTTTCTGTGCTTTCGTTGTTGGTGGTATTAGTGGTGTTATTTACATCAGTTCCAGCTTTGGCTACTTCGTTTGATACTTCTTCAGTCTCTTCGCTAATAACAGTTCTTTTTGGCTCTTTCATTGTGGTGATGGCTAAAGCTGCTACAATTACTCCAATCATTCCACTCAGGTAATATGGCACTCTCCAGCTCTATTAAAAAAATATAAATGTTATATACATAAGTTATACTTTCTTGAATAATCCAATTATTGTCGCATAACTATTAACGAAATCCAACTAAACAATATTTTGTCCGATGAATTTGTTCATAATAATGTTTATAAAAAAACTCACCAAACCACCGACGTTCATTTCAGTGACGTATCGGCCGACTGGGAAAGCTAAACCAATTCCAGCATATATTCCCCAATTGAAAATTGCCATGACTAATCCTCGCTTTTCCTGAAATCGCATTAAAAACAGTTATTGTTTAAATCGAAGAATGCATAATATCTTAATTGAATTCTATCCCACATCATTCGTCTATTGAAGGTGTGATGTAACACCACTCGTGAACTTAGTGTGTATTCATAGGACTCTAATTATGCAAATTATCAAGTACAACAATTCATATTGACAGAATTATCACACTACTAAGTGGTTCAGTATTACGAAATGTTTTTGTTTTGTCTATGGCAAATATACACGAAAATGGATTTAAGTTATTCGTTTAGAAAAAACCGGTGTTCAATGTCGATGTATCCGCATGCATATTTTACGATTGACAGTAAAATATGCATATGGTTGTCAAAATAAACACATAATTTCGGAGATTGACTTATATCACGTCGTGTTCATATTAACGGCGCGTTTATTTTTTACGTATTTAATCGTTTTATTTCGTGTAAATCGTGATGCACGCATACTTACTTCTGAAAACAAATCCGACAGTATTCCCGTGGATAAGGGATTGGTACCGGCCTCGCTGTAACATATGAAAGTGTAATAATTAACAATCAACAAGGTCGATTTATAGGTTAAAGTCATTATTATTATTATTGTTAAACAATACTAACCCGACTGCAAGCAATATTCTGAGAAGTATCAAATGCCAGTATTGAGTCGCCGCACCGATTAGTCCAATGGCCGTAGCGCTGATCAATGTGCACAAAGACAACAAACGAACTCTGCAAATATGTTAAATGCGTGTTTTATTAAACGTAAATGCCAAATGTTATGCAATTGCATTAAAAACTGAATTATTTTAAAATAGAATCATTTTTCGCCCGAGCAAATTTTTCAGCTAATTAATGTGACTAACAACAAACACGTTCATAAAATTATCGGATATTTTTAACCTATTTACTGGATTATGTAAATTATAATATGATAATTGGACAAAAATTAAATAATAAGAACTATTTAGTTAACGAGTTAATAAAAATCTTTTGCATAAGTGTAATTTAAAAGTGATGCTAAGACTATTATTATATATTTAACAATACAATATGTAATAAGAAATAAAATTTGTGTAGTATTCTAAAAAAAATATACTCGAACATATTTACTGTATTACAGTTACAAAAAAAATGTGTAACACAAAAATGTGCCTTAAAGTAATGGTAAATGTAAAAAATGATAATCACACAAAAAAGAAAAACAATATTTTGTTAATCACTTTATACCTATTGAATTTGTCAGCAGCAATTCCAAAACCGATTCCACATAACGAGTAAACTGCGATAAAAGCTGGACCAGCCAAAAGTTGGTACTCAAAACCAAGACCGTTGTAATTCCATTCGCAATATTTTGAGCCATCGTCTAAGGTTAACGATTCACACCTATAAAAGTACAAAATGAGTCAGATTTTTATGCAAATGAAAAAAAAAATAACAGGTATTGCTTTTTCAATGTTCAACTGCACTCGCAACTCTATTCGCCTATGTTACGTTTTATGCAATAAACTCGATAAATTTGACTAATTTATTGTCCAATAAATATTTATAACGATTTAAAAGCGTAAGTAAGTTTAAAACGAGAAAAACAAAATCATTAAAATGATTTAATTTAATTGAATTATTATTAATTCAGGTTATGGAACGACATATTTCTACAGCAATAGTTTTATAAAGTATATTTAAATATACAAATAAATACAATATGTACCCACATCCATTTGCGGCCCATCTAATTTAGCCATTGAAAATTTGATATAAATCGAACAATGTTAGATGTGTTAAAAATAGTACATGTAATTACAATGTTAATAAACATTGTGTTAAGAAATTGCATTAAAATTACACACCAGTAATTCACTTTTAAATTTCCTAACTCGTTAAGTGTATGATAACAAATGGCCGTCAGTATAATTTCTGAATATTATTGGCAAGGTTAATAGCCAAACGATACGAACATCATCGCATGTTAATAGTATTGTTTTGACGATAGCCCTACTGCAATGCGACAATAGTTAATTGTCATAGCCGCAATTTGAAAAGATGTTTGGAGGATCTAATTTCTAGATTCTCTTGTTCCTAAAAATTTTTCAACGTAAATTGACATGTAAATTTCATCGTTTTTGAGGAGGCTGCGACCGAATTAGAGGGATAAGCCCTTCTATCCCCTCAGAATGCTCTTATGATAATGTGGAATAATTGGAAATGTTTTATTTTGTCTAGTAATAACAACAACAACAAAGGTACGATTATGTTAATGTTATCAGCTGTTCGTGCGAACATCATAAATTATTGCGGACGGAGAAATATAATGTGAAGAAACGGTCCGCTGAGTCCGTTCTTGAAGTGTCTGGCAGCGGCTGGAAAATGCGTAAAAGGCTTGAAAACTCGTGAGGTCAGACGCGTAATTCGTATTAATTAATCTAAACATTTGCGTGTGTGGTTGTACAACAATCGTCCTACGCGGCCATGTTAGTTAAAAGCCAATTAGTAATCGGCCGCATGAAAATGATTATTTTGGCTTACGATTTCTGGTCTGGGGCCATGTCGCAGTGACCATGCAACGTGTAGTTGAAGACTGATGATTCAGCCAGTTCCTCGAGCAACTGACATTTAATGTCTCCGTAGTGCACGTCCCTGGCCGTCGCCTTGCTGGTTACTCCGATCATGAAATGGCCCATTTCCGACGTCAGATAACCCAATGTGAGTACGGTGAGAACGTACGATTTGTACAGGAAACCCAATTTCTTGATGTACGAGTTCATTGTTCTGTTTGTTTGTGTAACTCTGCAAAACAAAAGTAAACATTTATTCATTATGTATAATGTGCATTAGCATAAATCGCAACAAATGTTGAGACTAATTATCAATTAGCGTCACAGAGTTGGAGAAAAACGACCACAGAAGGGAATCATGCGTGAATTTATAACTGATATTTCGTTGTTGTATCGACCCGATCGTTAACTCACGACTAGTGTTATCGTTACCATCATTATTACATAAGCAAGGTTCATTATGATTTACACAATGTGCTAAGAATGCTATAAAAAATTGTTTTTTTTTTTTTTTAAATTCTTATTTGCAATTCAAGGGTGTGTACTAACGCGCTTACATCAAGGTCTCTCAAATGACAAACCCGTTAAAAATTTAGCGCGGCTTTAATTCCATGAGCTTCTGTTTTCCTCTTTGGTACCCTTTACATAAACAAAACTTTATGAGAACAAGTATAAAACCTCAGACTCGCTCGGACGTAACGAAAAGAAATGACTCATAATACATCTAATTAAAAGAAAATTTCTTTTATTAAACTCATCGATAGAAAATTTTCGATAATATTATCATGAAAGCAATTTTTAGCGTTCGACATGATCATGCAGTCTGTCTTGTGTACGGACAGTACTCGTGACGTGTACGGCCATGTGGTATTTTACAGGTATTTTCATACGACCATTGCGGTCTCGGAGGTAATATAATTGAGACCGATATGGTGACGAACAAAGAGGAAAAATAGTTTTTGCGATGACACAGTTAGATTGAAATAAAGCGCCGTTTGCATTGTTGGCAATTGTTATTAAAAACTAAAAACCCAAGTTCATCGGAATCAGTCGTGTGTGTCTTCTGCTCATGTGTACTCGTCTTTGAGGTTACTCGGTTTTACTTTTACTTTTTTCCCTTTTTTTTTTAACACACCATTGTTTTATACACGCATAAAACATTTCCGATGCTTCCAACCACCCAAGGAAGTAATCTGCTTCGTTTAATTATTATTAAAAATAGACTCATGGACCGTCGAAATCTACGATCAGATTTTTGAGTTTATCGACGTCCTTGGATCGCGGTCGTGAGTTCCGTGTTTTTGAATACAACAGAAATCGGAATCAATAAAATTTTTCCGTCTAAATTTTCAAACTCGATGCTAACAAAGAGAAAAACGCCAATAATTTACACTATTTCAGATCGATACGCTATATAATAAAAATCATAAAGCTTAACACGTGTCGGGAGCTGTATACTTAAGTATCTCGCCAGTATAATTAATATATTTGAATGCATACATGGTTATTATTGTTATGTTAAACATCCAAGTAACTATTTAATTATTGTACACATTGGACCACCCGTTAATATTGGTTTATTTAAGCTGATAAAAGCGAAGGACGCGTTGCTATATATAATTCATTTGCGAGTGCTTAATTAACAGAATACAGTCACAAGTTTCACACGACTTATTGCTTTTGTAGTGTAGAGTGTCATCTTGAAATTGTGAATTTATATTCCGCTGGTTTATTGTGTTCCTATTATTTTTGCTCGGATGTAATACTATTATAACAATTAAAATTATTCATTACGATAGCTGTTGTTATGAAGGAATAAGTTTCTAATAGGATTAATTATGAATAGAGAAATGGTTGATAGCCATAATTGACCACAATATTGATAATTGAAGTTTGGTGTTGTCAGCTATCAATGACTATCCGTATACAGAATGATTGTTTTATTAAGTCTAACGCAATACCTTTAAAAATATAAAACATATTGTGTTTCCCATAATGTTGTGTCCATCTCTTTGAGTTCGTTTGAGCAATTCATATATTTCCTTACAAGCAAGACTATAATTATTATTCTTCGTTATACCGAATGCTGTGGACTTCAAATAAAGCAATAAATAATTTTAACTTGGATTTTATCATGATTCCTTTAGCCACATTAAAAAAATGTATATGATAATGTTATAAAATGATTTACACGAATTGTTTTATTTTTAGTGTTAGTGTATGTACTTAAACTAATAGTTTAGTACTGCTGTACTCTATTACCCTATGTGGCGTAAATTATTTTAAATAAATAAATAAACATAATACAATTTTTTTCAGAAGTTAATAGTATACTACGTTCTATAATGACTAGAAGACAATTTTGATACTTATGAACTTTAATATAGTCGTAAGTTTTATTCATTTATAATTTGTGACCGATTGGTAAAATTAAAAAAATAATAATGGAGCGACATTTATAAGAGCAGTGACAATCGTTTTTTATATTCAAAGATAACGCGGCAAGTTGGGGTTTAGATAAAAGACTATTATGTATTAGTATTTTTTCTATTGAAAATACACTGCGTATTTCATGATACTCAAAGCAATTAACTTGTTAATATAAAACTAGTGGTGAAGCGCGGGTCTATTTATTTTTATCTCCAGGCATTATTGAACCGCACTACTCCTCCCACCCTATATATATATATACAAATGCTTATATCTTTTAAAATACTAGTCCAAAAGTTATTATGGACTAGTCATTTTCTTAGATAGATCATAGATCAAGTTGGTAATATATGTGTTTCCATTTGAAAAACTAAAGTTGATCAAAATTTAAGGGAAGAAGAGAGGGTATATTGTTTTTTTGAAATTATAAAACGTATGATACTCTAAAGTTTTGAAAAGAAAAACGTATATTATGTTTTATATTTTTAAAGATATTGCGTGGGTGACAGTTAAACGATCACTCTGTAGACTAGAAATACTACGACAACGTAACATTTTCTACAAAAATAGTGTCAACACTTACTTGCTATTCGCTTTAGTTTAGTCTATAAAATCAGTATCGTTACCAGTTCATTATCCCAAGGAAAACAACGATTAACATTCAAGTTATTAATTAATAGCCAGTGTACTCGAGAAAATCGTATAAATTATAAACAAAATTGTACAGGAAAAATATTGAATCGCACGGCGATCGCACAGAAAAATATAATGTCGTGCAGACGCGTTCCGACTGACTTGTATTTATCAAATAAGTTCACATTCACAGGTTTCACGTGCCCGTCTACTACTACATTGATCATTTGGCGACCAAAAGTGTCGTCCTCCTTGTATCCGTTTGGGGACGAATAAATATATGTATAAACATAAGCGTATACAATTACACGTCGATAATTTATTATTATTATTTTCTTTAATAGTATTCCGAGTCAAGGACCATCATTATTGTCTTATTCATATTAGTTTTTTTGTACGTTTTACGTATAAAGACGAACAGCTGAGATTGGAAATATTGTCGATTCACCGGAGAATTTTTTTCCTATTCCGAGTGGCCCAGAAGGTTTTTTCGATTTCCACTCTCGGCCGTCTATAGAAGCGTTTCTAACAGATAAAAAACTTGACATTATTAAATCAAACGTACCCTTTATTTATGCAGAGTATGGTATGAAGCGAATTCGACAAACTGTTGCCCGCGTTTATATGGTACCGCTCTAGTTTTCACTGCTTCCGGTCAATCTGCTAAGAATAACCCGCGAACAATTTTTAAACGAGTTTTACACTTGAAAATCCGGTATACTTGAAGTCTTCGAACTACTATTGGAAAAATTAAAACACTCCGAAATTCGATAGAACTAAGTATATAATATGTAACAAGTATAAAAGTCTTTTAGAGGGAAATCGCCAAACGGCGGCAACGGTCCGTCGGTTACTGATGCCGGTCTAGATTCAGGAATCCATTATAAAACCTCGACGGGTTCTGCTGCAGAAGTACTTAGGACCTTGTACCCTCACCAGACAGCTGCTGACGCCGACGCTGCACGCCGCGATTGACGGTCACCGCCGCCGCTCCGGTCCGACTTCAAGGTCAACATCAACCGTCTTCGAACATTGTTCTTCGGGGGGATTGCTGTTTCAGTTATTGACTTTTTTTTTTATTCTTTTGGGGAAACACCATAGTATTGATGACGTCGGAAATGTGGCGGGGATTTCGCCTCTAGTCAAATTCGATAATTTTTGCGTTTTCATAACGAAATCGCCATTGGACGTAGATCGCATGCAGACCAGACAATTCCGCCCTAAGTACAGATCAAGAGAGAAAATGTGGAGTGGTACATAAAATAAAATTACTCTTTGTTATTGTTCTGTTATAAACTTACAACGCCATTATAAATACAAAATTAAACGTCAAATAGAGTGGACATTATTTTATTTTTTAAACAACTAATATATTTCTATAATAAAAACCCTAAAATAAAACAAATATGTGTGAATGCATTTAATGGTAATTTATGTGTGTTTAAAACAAATGCTAATGTAGCCTCTATAACCTTTAAATTATCACTAATTCCTATGATAATACAATCTTTAATTCGTTTAACTCATATATCTGATTGAAAAACAAAGGTACATAAAAGTTTAATCTAAAAAATAATTCTAATTACTAAACTTTATAAACTGTCATAATTGAAACATCATCCATTATTCCATTGATATATTAGCTAAATATTTTACTGCCAGTTAATAATCAAACGTTTTTATCACAAATATTTTTACTTTTTGATTGAAATTTTAAATACCAAAACATAAAAGCTTATAATTAAATGGAGTTCCGAACATAGTGATTGATGTGTAGAATCTACACAGTTATAAAAAACATACATTGTTTGTACCATTTTTAATACGTTGGACAACATTTTCATTTCCGCGTGACATTTAAACAACATTTACTGTTGCGTATTACTTAAGGTCACACAGACGTACTTTTTGTTAATATTTAACTTGATTAGGCGCAGCAAAAGATTTGCATTTATATTACATATCCTACGATCACACTATATCAATTTTAAGGACGATCACACGATCTTGTTCACATCTCAAGAAAACACTTGATTTTTTAAACAAACCTCTAAGTATTCCATACAGAAAGAATTTTGTAGGTTTTAAAAAATTCTTCAAAATATAAAATCTTGAGGCAAATTCTATTAATAGGGTTAGCCCAAGAATATTTCTGGGATAGATTTTTTTATAGGAAATGTAAATTGTAATATTTGTTTTTATTAATTTATACAAAATATATTATCAATTTATAAATTTCTATGTTTTTCATTTCCATTATACCTAACAAAACAATTACCAAACAATTATACATCTGTTGAAGCGATAATTAATTAGATTTTAATTCCAACCATAATCCGTAATTTTTTGTTTTTAAAATGCTTTTGATAGTTACAACAGCAGTTTTTACCTAAATGTATTTTTAACTACTTAAATCATCAATTAAGTAATCTTACAATAATATTGTCAAAGTCATAATGTAAATGGAGTAAGACAAATTATAAATAAGTTAATTGTTGTACTCAAAAAAATCCTTCGGTAAAATTAACAAATGCATTATCAAAATATATCCAATATTTTTTTTTATTAAATGAATCTTAGTTTTTGTTAATTTAGCCATTATATTTGTTAGAAGAATAGAAAGTTGATCAAACTAACAAATATTTTATTAAATCAATAGAAAAAATGGTTCTACTATAAAAAACTATTATTTATTTAACAAAAATATTATTAAACATATATTGATAAAAAATTTGTTGATTTTTTCAAGGATTTATTTCTAAATAATAATCTAATTAATAAAATACATTTTTTTTTTTAGAAAACATTTTTATAAATAGTATAATTAAAGATTTTTTTATGATGTTTTAATCCACTAATTGGAAGCTATTCTTGATTTTTACATTTTTTTTTGCTTATTAAATTCAGTTTAGGTATCATTTAAAAAAAAAAAATTTGGCTGCGCCAGTGGTTGTAAAAATTAAAACTAAATCATTAATTGCCAGAGTATAGAATATCAATTATTTATTTATAATCCCTAGTTTAATGGTGATAACATAAAAAGATTCGGAGGTGGGTGTGACTCTCAAAAATAATGCTTCAATTAGGAATAAAATTAAATCTGTGGATGATTTATAGTTTTTTCTATCAATATTATTATTAAAAAAGAGACAATTCGTTTATAGAATTTTCTGCCAAAGAAAAATATTTATTCCACACCATCCTAAAATATATTTCTAGAATTGTCTATTTGTCTTAGCCATATTATAAAAAAAAATATCAAATTTTCAAAATCATTTATAAATATTGTAATCGAAGATACTTTACATTTTATACAATTTATAAATCTACTTGCTTAAAATAAAAATCATCATTTAATAATCAATAATTTTATTTTCCCATTATTTAAAGTTTTGTGGATAACATTATTTTAAATTTTAAAATAATTATTAAAAATATTAATAAATATTTAACTCTAAAATCTATAAAAGTATCTTAAGTTAAGAACCCCATGTACATATTTCAAAAACCATGTTATCATCATCAATAATACACTCATACTGATAGTATATCATTATTATAAATATAACTTCAACAATAATAATAATAATAATAAGTGAAAATAATTTGATAACTTAAATAATTTGTAGTATTAGAATAAATAGTTAATTTATAAAATTACTCTAATTTTTCGTTGTATCTAAAACAATATTTTCGAAAAGATAAAAATATCGTTTTCAATTTCATAGTTCAATGAATTTATATATATATATATATATATATCTACATATGTGTGTGTGTATATATAATATAAAAAAATCGTTTATGTTCATCCCTTATAACTTAAAAGGGTGTCAACTTTAATTTATGAAATGATAACACACATAATTAACTAGCTAATTTATTAGGTATTTATAATAAAGAAATAACTTGTCGATTTGTATTAGTATTTCAAAACATGTATATATATATATTTATCTTGGAGAGAACGGGCGGGAAATGTCTATTTATAAAAAAGCAGCACACACTCTTCATCGCCAGTAATAACTTTAAATTGATTGTACCCCTCTTTTTTCATCTACGTATATTGTATAATACATGACAGTGATGTTAATCACTGTAAGATATCATCCTTACTTATTCCAAGTATACCGCGACCCCTCTGGGCTAAGTTTTTAAACTCGTATTTCTCAACACTAAATTCATGTCATTATCGTTTTAAAACAACTTAAACTTTTGATAAGAAGCAATTTTTGTAATTTTGAACAAACAGAACAATTATTTTTTTACTTAATTTTGACAGTATACTGAATATTGTCAGTATCTCTGCAAGTTTTTCAGTATTTCGCTGAATTTTGAAAGAATGTTATCTTATATTAACCTTGTATTATTTAACATGTGGTTACTAAGTGTAAAAACATGAATTTAGAGGAGCTTTCCGTATTTTAAATTATTTGTAGATTTAAATGTTAATCTACAAAATAACACAAAAAAAAATACATGGGCGTTTCATGGAATATTTATAAGCTATAAATATTCGATACACAATTAGTTTAATTTCAGCTGTAACATACAATGAATTAATTTTTGAAGAATTTTTAAAATAAACAATTTTTTTGTATATTCTAATATTAAACATTTATACGATTATTGTTTAGAATTTCTAGTGGGCAGATGTCTAGTTATATTATGGAATTATACATATATTTTATTTGTATCTCAAACAAAATTCATGATAAAAGAAATATGGTTCAAAGTTATGAAATGTGAAAAGATAATGAATATTAATTAAGTAATACAAATTAAATTCAGTAAATAATTTATGAAATTACAAATCATTATTATAAATAATTTTGTTAATAGTACTATTATTTTACATCAAATCAGCTGTTAACGTGTATTATACCAATAAATTAGTATATAAAAAACGAATGACTGTAATTTATTATAAGCATCTTTGACACTCTTTAATTTATACTTCAATAATAGGTGTATATGCGTAGTCTAAAACATGTTTAATTACAGTGTTATTATTATATGTGTGTAATTATTCCACCGAAATTATAAAAAATAAGCCTATGTTAAAACCCAACTATTCAACGATGAATTATTTTGCTAAAAATAAAGATGACTAATAGGCGCCAAAAAATTAATATAAGAAATTCCAATTTCCTTATAGTAACTATTTCCTTACGTAGTGGATTAACCACGTAAACAGGTTTGATAATCGCCAATAGTGAAATCGTGTTTTATACTAAATAGCAGCTTGGAAAATTAAATTACCGTTTTACTTTTACTTGCTTTAATGATAACTTATATTAATTTACTGGATGTAACATTCAATGTACAATGTTTTATTATTTGGTACACTAATATTACCACAATTTTGAGTGGATTTTATTAAATTAACTATCTCACTATTTAAATCATTTATAATTTAGCACATTGTGACTCTGAGCATCGTTATTAAAGTAAAAGTTAACCTATTGCTAATTTAGGAACATAACAGTTATATGTATAAAAACAACATAGCAAAAGTTTCACGCCGTTATAAAATGCCACATACTATTCATATTTACATTTTAATTTCTGAATTGCCAATTACTGCTATTTATTGATAACATGTTCATTATTGTAAGGTCAAGGTTAATAAAATAATGATGATTATTCCAGTATATATAGTCTTTTTGTGATAAAAAGCGAAAATTTATAAACACTAAGTGTATCATTTTACTCTCGCCTATGTGGTAATTGACCGGTAATTAATTACCGTCTCAAAATAGATCTGATTAGTTTTTAAATAATTTCTTTTGACTATATTCATTTTTTAATTATTTAATAAATTATTTAATTTCTGTTTATTATTTTAATAATAAAAAATTCGGTCAGAAAATAT